AATGAAGATGAGGACACTCTCCTGGATTATCTGGCAAACCCTGAATGCAAGCAATGGCCTATAATCTTAAAGAGGGACGCAGAGATGGGGCGCCTGGGAGGCTCAGTTGGTTAAGCGTCCGACTTCGGCTCAGGCCATGATCTCATGGTTTGTGGGTTCAAGCCCTGTGTCGGGCTCTGTGCTGAGAGCTCAGAGCCTGGAGCCTGTTTTGGATTCTGTGTCTCCCTCTCTCTTCTCTGCCCCTCCCCTGCTCACGCTGTCTCTCTCTCTCTCTCTCTCTCTCTCAGAAATAAATTAAAAAAAAACCATTAAAAAAATTTTTTAAAGAAATAAAAAAACAAAAAAACACAATTTTTAAAAATGTAACTCAAAATTGAATTGATCAATAACCTCAGTGTAATAGCAAAACACCTAAAACTCTTAGAAGAAAATGTAAGGATAAATCTTCATGACCAAATCTTGGCTTTGGCAATGGGTTTTTAGATATGACAACAAAAGCACAAGCAAGAAAAGAAGAAAATAAGTAAATTGGACTCCATCAAATTAAAAACTCTGTGCATCAAAGAACACTATCAAGAAAGTGAAAGAAACAAAACAAAGCAAACAAACAAACAAAAACACTAATAAAAGAGGAACTGAAAAAACAACCTACAGAATTGGAGAAAATGTTTGCAAACCATCTATCTGATAAGGGTCTAGTATGCAGAATATTAGAACTCTTACATAACTCACAGAAAAAAGACAAAGAACCCAATTTAAAAACAGGCAAAGGACTTGAGTAGAAATTTCTCCAAAGATATGCAAATGCCTATTAGTCATTAGGGAAATGCAAATAAAAAACACAGTTAAGGTACAATTTCACATGCACTACGATGGTTATAATAGGAAAACAAAGACCAGAAAACAAATGTTTTCTGAGGATGGAAAAAATTGGAAACCTCACATAAAACAGCACAGCCCCTGTAGAAAACAGTTTGGGAGGTTTCTCAATAGGCTAAACATAGATATGATCCAGGATTCCACTCCTGGGTATCTACCAGAAGAAGTGAAAACAGGTGCTCAAATAAATGCTTGCACACACATGCTCACAGCAGCACTATTCATAATAACCAGAAAGTAGAAAGAGCTCCCATCAGTGGATAAGTGGGTAAGCAAATTGTGGTATATCCATACAACAGAATAATCAGCCATAAAAAGGAAAGGGGCACCACACAGGCTACAACATAGATGAACCTGAAAATATTATGCTAGGTTGTATATTGTATGATTACATATATATGAGATACCCAGAATACCCAGGATTCATAGAGACAGGCCACGGACTGATGGTTTGGCTGGAGCCAGGGAGGAAGCAGGAATGGGGACGGGCTACTTAATGGGGATGGGGTTTCGTTTCGGGGGGATAAAAATGTCTTGAAACTACATACAGGTTATGGTTGTACAACATTGTTCACTTCAAAATGGTTAATTTTATGTTATAGGAGTCTCATCTCAATAATTTTTAAAAATTTTTAAAAATATTTATTCATTTTTGAGAGGGAGAGAGACAGAGCATGAGCAGGGGAGGGGCAGAGAGAGAGGGAGACACAGAATCTGAAGCAGGCTCCAGGCTCTGAGCTGTCAACACAGAGCCCGACGCAGGGCTCGGACCCAGGGACCGTGAGATCATAACCGGAGCCGAAGTGAACAGTTAACCGACTGAGTCACCCAGGTGCCCCTCAATAATAACTGTTTAAACTTTATTAGACAAACAGTAGAACAATCATTTCCAAGGTGGGGGTGGTAGGTGGAGGGATTGGCAGTGCCAAGGAAGGGAAACCCCACCATCTGTGCAGACACCACCCCACAGAGGCCTCAGAACAGGGAGTCTGGGCAAGGGATGGAAACAGGCTAGTTGGTTGATAATCCTATGAGCGGAGCAGCTGAAGCCCCATGTCCCCTACCCCCACACCACACAGCCAGTGACCCCTCCAGCCACATCCTGGCTGGAGCCTGAGTTTGACCTTGATCCTCTGGGGAAATTGAAGGAGACAATGGGAAACACACAACCCAGAAGGAGGTGATTCCCTGGATGGAATTCCCAGGATGGGGTGGTCACCGGGACCCCCTCACCTGAATGGAGCAGGAAGACATAGTTCTTGACATGGGTGTGACTCTGTAAATGTCCCCATCCCATGGACAACCCCAGGGACGACATCCATTGGAGCATTTGGGAAGCATCAGCAAGAATAGTAGACAAAACTTAGCAAGTAAAAATACAAGGCACTTGGGGCGCCTGGGTGGTGCAGTCAGTTAAGTGTCCAACTTCAGTTCAGGTCATGATTTCACAGTTCATGAGTTTAAGCCCCACATCAGGCTCTCTGCAGTCAGTACAGAGACTACGTCAAATCCTCTGTCCCCATCTCTCTCTGCCCCTCCCCCAATGGTCCTTTCTCTCTCTCTCTCACTCAAAAATAATAAACATTAAACAAAAACACAAGGCATTTGTGCTTGATATCAGAAAAAAATATATATAAAAATGTTAAATGTGACCTGGTGCAATGTTTTCATTGCTCCCTTTTATCTCAGATGCAATGAATATTTGTGGGGGCACTTGCCCCAGGCACCAGATCCAAAGATGAGAGCCCAGCTGGGGACACTGTGACCATGGCTTGGCTCTGGGGAGGAAGGTCACAACGGTTCAGATCCCATGTGTCCTGGCTCTGTAAGTCTGGGTCAACTCTTATAACTGTTTTCTCTGGTTGGGCCTTGGTCCTCATTTAGTACATTTAAGAAGGTGAGATAAGGCTCAAGGAAAAGCCATCTCTCCCTGGTGGAGCCAGTGTTAGGAATGCAGTTCCATTAGATGGGTCTTGGCCAAGAACCCAGGGAATTCTGCCTTGCTCTGGCCATCCCTTTGGGACCCCAAAGGGAGCAATGGTGGAGAAGAATAAAACACCAGAGTTCTTTGGGCCCCGAACCACAGAGGCCTGAGGCTGGGCTGGAGCCCAGAGCCTAGACTTTAGGGCTGAGGGTCCATTTCTGTGGCCTGTACCCAAGAGAAAGAAGAGCCAAGGGGCTGAAGCACAGCCACCTGGACAAAAGAGAAAGAGCGGTGGGCCCACCAGTGAGCAGGACCTATCAGCTACAGGGGCGCGTGGACTGGCAGGCAGCAGCTGTCAGTCACTAGGGGCTGCAATGCTCTGCTCAGGCTCCCATCTCAGCCGCAAACCTGGTCTATCCTTTTCTTTCTTCTGTAAACCCGCCATGACTACAGCAGAGGTGCGGGTGACCAGGTGTGGAGAACGTGAGATCATGACCTGAGCTGAAGTCAGAGGTGCAACTGACTGAGCCACCCAGGTGCCCCCATGCCTGCTCTTTCCAGATCCACGTGTCCAGCTCTCCAAGGAACAAGAGGCCTGTGAGAACATTCCAACACTGCCACCCCACCCCGACACACACACATTGGGTGAGCTTTCCTGGCAATTCCCAGCTGCCACAGCAGCTTCTCCTCCAAGTATGTGTCCTCACCCCAGTGGAGGAGCTGCTTCCTGGAAGGGGACGCCACAACGCTGTGTTGGGCCTAAGGAAATTCATGCTGACGCAGAAGGGGAAACCTCTTGGCTGGGTCCTCCTTCTTTATCCACGTTGTGCTGTTGTCCTCACTCACCCTGGAAACAGCCTCCACTTAGGGGGGCCCTCAGGTCCCCTGAGGTCACAGAGAAACCCTCTGGCCTTCCCCCCAGCTCCTGCATCCTGTTTGTGGAGGAAGGCAGAGCCACCCTGACCGGTGGGAAGGTGTCGTCCCACCGGCTGGCCCAGGCTTTGTAGGAGAGAAGCTGGCCGGAGAAATCGTCCCTTTGGTTACTGCGTCCTTGAGGGGATGAGGCTCAGCACACAGTGGGTGCGGCCCGGGGGAAGCCTCCCCACCCTGCTCCATCTGTAACCCCATCTGGCTCTCTTGTTGGGTCTTGTCCTGGCCTCAAGAGCAGCAACCCTTTGGAAAAAAATCCCTCGAAGGTGAATTTTTACAAGTTGAAAACGTATTTCCTATTGCAATTACTTCCACACTGAGAACGATAATGCAAAGCGCCCCCAGATAATCAAGGGAAAGTGTCAGAACTGCGTGAAGACCACACGAATGTGCACACACTGGTCACAGCTACTAATAAGTCCAGTGCTGTCTGCAGGCAGGAGGGTGCAAAGCGCCTCCCGTGGGGGCTCAGGAACATCTGGAGACTCGCCAGGCTGCAAAGGTCAAAACCCTCTTGTAACCAACGTGGGGCGGTGGGGGAGGGGTGTATTCCAGGACACTCCCTGAAAACTCAGATTTTCCCAGTGACGAGCCTATGTCGCGGGGCTAAATATGTTCTGCTAGTCCTCCATTGTCACACTCTGTAGTGACAGATGTGTAAGGACTTTGAAAGAAACTCTTGGTACAGGACTGATGGCAGAGTTGGAAAACTGTCCTGGGTCCTTGTGTTCTCACTGGTAGCGGGCTGAGGTCTGACCTGGGTGGGCTTGTAGTTTCCTCTCTGCCTCTCCAGGACCAGGAGAGACAGGAGGACCCCCACTGCCCTCCATTTTCATGGTCTGGCAGCAGGAGGAAGGACCGGGTGTCACCCATCTGCCCCTTCCTCACCCGGGGCCCAGAGCAGCACTGGAGGGTCGGGTGGGGTGGGAACAGAAAGCTCCTGCAAAGGCAACATCCTGGCTGGGCCTTGTGCGAACAAAGCATAGCCTACGTTCCTGCTCTCAACGAAGAGCCCAGCCCTCTGGTTTAGGGGGGCCCTGCCAACAGGAAGTCCTGAGCCCTGGGTGCGTAGTGGGGCCCAGGCTTCCCAGGGCCCACCAGGCTGAGCAGGAAGTTGGCCAGGGTTCTACTAGCTGAGCAAACAGCAGGTTTCCCAGGAGGATGAGGTGGGTGAGGCCCCAGCCTGGGAGAGGGGTGAGGGTGGGGTATATGAACCACAGCAAAGCCTGCCTCTGTTCCCAGGAGCAGCCTCTGAGCCTAGTCCGCCATGAAGCTCACCGCCGCCTTCCTGGTGCTCTGTGTGGCTCTGTTGAGCCATCCTGGTGAGTGCCTGCAGGCCTTAGTCCCCAGCTCCTGGCTATCCTTGGCAGAGGCTCTGGTCGGGTCCCCTGTTGTCTCTGCCTTGGGCACAAGGCCACTCCTCCGCTCACCAACTCCTGGGGCTCCTCATCCCTCTGGGCAGGATGTTCTGCTCCGTCCTGGGGCTTTTGAGGCCCTCTGTGGTCTGCCCTGCCCCATAACGCAGGCTTCCTCTCCTGTTCCCACTGGCCCTGGTTTCTCCTATTCACCCAACACCAGGCTGTACCAGCGTTGGCCCTGGTCTGGGACTACCCATCTGCTCTCTGCCTCCTCTTTCAAGGCACATCCCAGGTGCCCCTCCTCTGGAAAGCCTGTCTTGGATCCTACTTAGAGCTTTCTCCATCTCCTTTCACCCTTGGGCCACCTCGTAGGTCCCTCTGTCCAGCCACCTCCTTGCTGGGCCACGGCGATCTGCTTACATGACCACCTCTCCCAACAGGCAGGGACTCCTCAGGGCTAGGCCTCCCCTAACTTAGGGTAGCTGTCAGTGGGTGGTTAGAGGTGGACACAGCACCTGCAGGAGACAGTCCTTTGGCAGGTGTCCACGGAGGCCCAGTCCACACAGGGGGGCTCTTCTCTACTTGTGTTTGCAGCGGCCACTTTCTTCGTGGACACAGTGGCCAAGCCTGTGGCCTCAGCTCTGACCAACCTCAAGCCTGCTGTGGAGGCTGGGGCAGAGGCCCTGGCCGGGGCAGGAGACCTGGTTGAGACAGCAGCCATGGCTGGGGCTGGGCCCATAGGCAACCCCCTTCTCCAAGGCTTCAGCCCCCTGAAGTTCATCCTGAACATCCTGGGGGTCCCAGTGAAACATCTCATGGAGGGTTCCAGGAAGTATGCGGCCGAGCTGAGCCCTGAGGCCGTGGGGGCCATGAAGTCTCTGCTGGTAATGTGGGTGCACCCTCCCTGTGAAGGCAGGCCTCCCCAGCCATCCTCCCAGAGTGGAATGGTCCACTCCTCAAATTGCCCCAAAGGCATCCCGGCCCATGTCAGGGAATCCTCCTTGCCGGCCCCCAGAAGCAGGATTCCTTGGGTGGGAACCCTGTTGACCACATCTGAATGGCAAGGGGACTGCTGAGGGCCCTTGGGAGTGAGGTATGACCCTGCCGGGGACTCTGCCCAGAGTCCTAGCTGTGCCCCCCCAGTGCCCAGTGGGCAGAGTGGAGAACACACTCCAACATGGCTTCTCCTTTCCAGGGGGCCCTGACGTACCTTGGCTGAGCCGAGGCTGGAGGATCTCTGCCTGGGGACAAGGTGCTGCCATCTGCAGGTTGGGGACCTGCTGCCCAGCCCTGACCATGCAAGCCTTCCTTCCCCTACTCTCCCAATAAACATGGATAGGAGTGGCTTTGAGGCTAATTTCTTCTTACCTTGGTACCAATGCCCGTTTCTCCCCCTGCTGAAGCGATGGTGCTGAAGGGGCCTACAGGTGGGATGGTCCCTATGCCTCAGGAGGTACACCATGCCCCAGATTACGTGAAGGTGTGTGCATGTGTGTGAGAGGCACTACTGACATTGGGCAGGTGACTCAGAGCCACCAATTAAAGGTGACAGGGATTGGGCAAGTATTAGAGTTAGTTAAACTGGGATTTCCCCCCCCCCCCCGCACACACACCTATTATGCTCCACAATTGTTTATGAAGCATGGGAATTATTTAATCCTTGGAAATTGGTGAGAACCCTCCAAAGCTAGCCATTTGTTGCTAATATTTGAAAAGCTTTGGTTCCCTCTGACATAGCTTTCTTTCCTGGAATGGGGCAGGACTGAGGGCTGCAGGAAGTCTATGTCATGTTTGATTTTTCTCTGTGGTTTCTGGTAGTTTATTTTTGAAATAATTTAGTGGCTCTGGGTCCTTTGGTTCTACCAGAAGACCCACCATTTCTGGATTGATCCCCAGTGTTGGTGGGAAGGTGCCCAGAGCCTGAATATTGATGTCTGTCTTGAGGGAAATTTCCCAGAAAACTCCTTTTTGATTGATAAATTATATCTCTGGAAAAATGTAACTCTGCTTCATGTTTTCTGGGAAGAGCTCTCCCTGATTTGACTATCAACCCACCACGGACAATCTGAATCCATTTGTACATATTTTATATGAAAACATGAGTCTGGCTTTTTTCTGTTCCTATTTTGAACAAGGACATTCAGGGCTTTAAACGGTGGGTGGGGGGCAGTTGTATTTTGACAAGTTTATACATCAACCTAGAACAGGGGAGGCAGCCACTGGGATCCAGATGAACTTTAAATCTCTCATCAATACCACTGCCCCCAAGATTCTCAAGAGTTCTGAGTCTTTGTGTAAGGCTCTGGTCTGGACAAAAATGAACCGATAATTAGATGAATCTCTATGCGTCTCTGGTGAAGAAGGCAGTGGGGACATGACCTGACCTGAAATGACCACAAGCCAATTTCTGGGGACATTATGTATGCTCCTCAGTTAATGCACTGGGTTAAAATATTCAAGGCATCCCTGGAAGAACACTGTAAGCCACAGGAGCTTGTTGGAACTGATAGTGGGTTGGGGGGCTCAGGCAAGGACACCGTCCTGAGATGACCCTGCTACCTTCCACCTCTGGAGCCTTCCCAGGCAAACACTGGAGGGGAAATCACAGTTTAGTAGAAGAGGGCATCCATGAGTAGCACTTGAAACTCCAATGCTGACAGCAATGGTTCGCTTCCTCCGTCCTGCAGACTTCTGGGAAGATACCAACCATAATTCCAGGCAAAGAGGGAATATGGCAAAAGGCTAGATTTCCTTAAATATCCTATTTTGCGAGTCACCTGGGTGGCTCAGTTGGTTAAGCATCTGACTTCAGCTCAGGTCACTGATCTCACAGTTTTGTGAGATTGAGCCCCACGTTGGGCCCTGTGCTGACAGCTCAGAACCTGGAGCCTGGTTTGGATTCTGTGTCTCCCTCTCTCTCTGCCCTGCCCCTGTTCACACACACTCTCTCTCTCAAAAATAAATAAAAAATTAAAAAAACATCCCATTTTGCCCATTTGACTTGGTAACTATATAAATATTTTACATGATTCTAAAAGACCAAATAAAAAATTTTAAAGAACTCTAAAAATTGAAATTATAAAAGAGGAACAAATCTAACTTTATTTCCCATGGTGGTACAGTCTCTGCAGACTATTCCAAGGCACCTGGCTGGTTCAATCTGTAGAGCATGTGACTCTCAGGTTCATGTGTTTGAGCCTCATGTTGGGTGCGGAAATAGTAAAAGAAAAAAAATTATTCCAAGTAACATGAAAATACAGTAATTTAACTCTACATTCAGTGCAGGGGTGGTAATACCCCAAGGATGAGAACAGTAAACACAATCAAATTTTTCTTGGTGCTGGCACTTGAGATTTCTGGCAAAGTGGAAAGAAGGTGCTAATATAAGATTATTAAAGTTCAGTAAAAACTTTAGGGCTCAACATTTGAACAGAAAGTACAATCATAATTACCTGCTGTGTTTTATCTTCAGAGGAAAAAAAATCTCTTACCCTGTCCCCTGAAAGTATCTAGAAACTGACGAATCTGGACTGTGGCCTCTAGATATCATTTCTCACTGATGAAACCAGGAGTCTCGGAGAAATGGCTGGTTCCAGATATGAAACCTAGAACATCTTTTCATACCAGAATAGAATAAGCTACTAAAGACCACCAGGATGGTGCCAAAAAGACACAGGGACCAGTCTGAATAAATCTCTCACTGGCCAAAAATGGGGTAATTTGAATATCAGTGATGGTAATAAGTGCAGTGGATGACACTCATCAAATATGACTAAATCTATGTGTTTTGGGGGTGCCTGGGTGGCTCAGCTGGTTAAGTATCCGACTTCGGCTCAAGTCATGATCTCATGGTTCGTGGGTTCGAGCCCCACGTCGGGCTCTGTGCTGACAGCTAGCTCAGAGCCTGGAGCCTGTTTCAGATTCTGTATCTCCCTCTCTCTGACCCTCCCCTGCTCATGCTCTCTCTCTCTCTCTCTCAGAATAAATAAAAACATTTTTTAAAAATCTTAAAAAAAAATAAACCTATGTGTTTTTTAAACAGAAGGGAAAAGTAGCCTGTTTGGTAATATTCTGAGGACACAAGAAAATCAGTTCATCATTCTGAAAACTGAAAAATATTTCAAAATACAAAGTTAAAACATTTTTTAAATTAAAAGACAAGTGAGAAATTATGCAAGACACATTAACTGATAAAGGGTAAATACCCTGTGCACATAAGGAATTATGAATTAACCAGAAAAGGACAAAATCCTCAACAGGCATAGAATTATATGAGGAACCTGAAATAGCAAAAATATGCTGTTATTAATAAGGGAAAGATAGACAGAAACCACAATGAAATACCATTATACCCACCAGAGTGCCAAAAACGAAGTTGGAGAAAAACAGGTATTGGCAAAGTTGTGGAACAATGGGAAAATCTCATAAACTTCTGATGGGAGAGTAAGCAGAAACACATTGGACAGGAATAAGCATATCTAGTAAAAATCATATGCACGCCCCAACACCTAGCAATTCCAGTAATTTCTAGCAACTACTTCCAGCAATCCTGGCACCTAACAGAATGTTCAGAACAGAATCGTGTGTAATGGTTGGGAGAAGGAAACGGAAAACTAGAAAACACAAAGATAGTTGCAGAGAAGGGTAGATTTTGGAATATTCATACAACGCAATATCACATTGCAGCTATTACAGCTACACGCATTAACATGAGTGAATCTCAGGGGTGCCTTAGTTGGTTAAGCGTCCGACTTTCGCTTAGGTCATGATCTCACGGTTCGTGGGTTCGAGCCCCGCGTCGGGCTCTGTGCTGACTGCCGGCTCAGAGCCTGGAGCCTGTTTCAGTCTGTGACTCCCTCTCTCTCTGACCCTCCCCTGCTCACGCTGTCTCTCTGTCTCCTAGAAATAAATAAACATTAAAAAAAAAAAAACAAAAAAAACCCATGAGTGAATCTCAAATAATTCAAATCCCATAAAACTCGCCCTTTTAAAGTATATAATTCAGAGGGTTTTCAGACTATTCACAGTGCTGTGGCACCGTCACTACTGTTTAATTTCAGAACATTTTTATCACTCCAAAAAGAAACTCTGTCTTCTTGGAGAATGTCTATTCAAATCTTTTATTCATTTTATAATTTATTTTTAATGCTTTTTATTTTTTTTATTTTTGAGAAAGAGAGAACATGAGTTTGGGAGGTACAGAGGGAGAGGGAGACAAAACAGGCTCTAGGCTCTGAGCTGTCAGCACAGAACCCAACAACGGGCACAAACCCACGAACCGTGAAATCATGACCTGTGCCAAAGTCAGATGCTTAACCGACTGAGCCACCCAGGCGTCCCTCCTGTACCCATTCTTAAATTGCATTGTTTTCCATCATTGAATTGTACGAGTTCTTTATATATTCTGGAGACCAGACTCATCAGATACATGGTTTACAAATATTTTCTCCGATTCTGTGGGCTGTTGTTCCACGTTCTTTTCCTTTGAAGCACAGAAGTTTTTCATTCTGATGAAGTCTAATTTATCTGTTTTCCTCCCTTTGGTTGCTTGGACTTTAAGATGTCTTATCTAAGAAACTATTGCTCAAACCCAAGGTCATGAAGATTTATACCATGTTATTTTCCTAAGGGATTTTATAGTTTTAGCTCTTACATTTAGATTTTTTTTTAATTTCTTTTACTTTTTGTACATGGTGTGATATTGAGGTCCAGCTTAATTCTTTTGCTTCTGGATATTCGGTTGTCCAGTACCATTTGTTGAAGGCACTGTTCCTTCTCTACGTAGGTGTCTTGGCACTTTTGTCACAAATCAATTGGCCACAGATGTAAGGGTTTATTTCTGGCCTCTCAATTCAATTCCATTAATCTATATGTTATCCTTAGGTCAATACCACACTTCTTGATTACTGTAGCTTTGTAATACATTTTGAACTCAGGAAGCTTGAGTATTCTAACTTTGTACTTTTTCAATATTGTTTGGCTATTTGAAGTTCTTTGGATTTCCATGAATTTTAAGACCAACATGACAATTTCTGCAACAAACAAAAAGCCAGCTGGAATTTTGATGGGGACTACAGTGAATCTGTAGATCCGTTTCTGGAGTATCACCATCTCAATAGTACGTAGTATTTTAGTCCATAAACATGAAGTCTTAACACTTATTTAGGTCTTCTTTCAATGTTTTAGAACTTTCAGTGTACAAGTATTCCACTTCTTTCACTAAATTTCTTCTTAATCATTTTATTGTTTATTGTAATGCAATTGCTTTAATTTTATTTTTGGTTAGTTC